CAAATTAGATATTTTTCTTCTGCTTAGATATGACATCCATTTGATTTTTATGACATCAAAATCATTACTGAACAGCATTAACTTGATTTTGAAGCAATCTTTGGCTTGAGGGACAAACACAGGTGCCTCAAACATGTTGGGGACCAAGTCTTCGAAGGGAATGAGTGGACATTTAAAGGGCAAACCCGATGTTCTGAGCCCAGCAAGGCAGAATGAATAGGTCAGGGATGCAACCAAGGGAAGCCGGTGCAGATCTTGGGACTGTCCTCACATATGCAGGTTTCTTCTACTCCTTGTTATTTGGCTTTAAAAAACCCCAAAACCCTGTGTTCCTGCTGGGCATAGTGGTGCACATCTGTAATCCCAGAAATCAGGAGACTGGGGCAAGAGGATCACCATGAGTTTGAGGTCAGCCTGGGCACACAGCGAGTTCAAGTCCAGCCTGGGACTGCACAGCAAGAACCTATCTCAAAACAAAAACAAAACTCAGAACAAATAAAAACCTTGTGGTGAAGACTTAAGAAAGAGAAACAGGTTGGAGGCTAAAATGAGTTTTTAACATAAAAGTTTACACCAAGGGATTGTCTTGATTCCCTTTTTGGAACCAAGAAATTAAAGAAGTAAAAACCACACAAGGTTTTTATTTTTCCTCTTAACATGTGTTTTTTAAAGTGCTTGTCTCTGAATTTTGGTTTATTCTAATTGTTTAATGATATTTGATGGTGGTATTTTCAATAAGATAGAATTAAAGGCCACTTATGTTTGGCAACTTCTTTCCCTCTGGAATGTCAGGGTCAGAGAAAAAGAATGCAAACCTGAGAAAGTGTACCTAGGAAGGGCGGGGGGGGGGGGCTTTCCTCAGAGCCCTGGTGCTCTCGCGACTGTGTCTGCTGCAGGGTGTTCCTGATGTGTAGTCCTGGCTGTGCAGTCTGTCTTCCAGCATTTCCCGCCTAATAAAAGCTTCACATTTAAAAAATCATCTTTAGATGCTGAAAACAAAGAGCTGAGTCCCTCTGTTGAAGCATATTCCGGGATTTTTGAACTTTGCGCTTTACAATATTTAATGAATATTTTATGTAGATTTAAGAGAAATGCTTGCATTCAAATTTAACCCTGACTTATTATTATTACTATTTTTTAACCAGGGATCAAACTCAGGACCTTGTACTTGCCAGGCAAGTATTTATGCTGCTGAGCCATATCCCTAGCCCTCGAATTTAATTATAATCACGTATGTGTTTGCATAGTTATTTTTAAAAGTAGGATTGTTCTGGATATTGCAAATTTGTGGGATGAAGCTTCTCACCTTAGTTTTGGTGCAAAAATTGATGTGTCTCCCCGGACCATGCCCCAAGAGGGCATGGAAAGTTTATTAATCATAATGAGGTTTTCTGAGACCAGGTCCAATAGAGCTTTGATTTTTCTTTTCAGACAATGTCTTGCTATGTAGTTCAGGCTGGCCCCAAACTCACAGCACTCCACCTGCTCAGCCTCCCCAGTGCTGCGATTGCAGACGTGTACCAGGACACCTGGCCCAGGAATGGTCTGAGAGCACAGCAGCAGGAGGCTGATTCCACCTCTGCTGAGCTTAGGGCAGGGCTTAGGGCAGGGGCCACAGGGGCCAGGCCCACCGTCTCGAGCCCCAGTGTGGTGCTGCAGGAGGAAGCACCCAGGGATTACCAGCTTTCGTGGAGGCAGGACAGGAGAGGGAAGGGTAGATCCCATGCTGTCGGCAGGCACCACAAACAGCCAGACTCTGCAGTGGGAATTTTTTTTTTAATGTATTTAGTACAGGGTCTGTAGGGTCTCACTACATAAATTGGACACATAGTGGTCCTCCTGTTTTCTGCCTCCATGCCACCATGTCCAGTCTCAGTTGCTGTCTCAGAGTGCCCTGGGGGCAAGGTTGGCACAGCATGTGCTACCAGGGATCAATCCCTTGTCTCTGAGCCTCCCTAAGCAGGCACTTTAGTCCTCTGAGCTATCTGGCCAGCCCTGTAGTGGAACTTAAACATCTCATGTTTGGGATAGGGAAGGAGCTCGGTAGTAGGGCATCCAGGTATCTTGCATGAGAACCTGGGCTCAGTCCCCAGCTTGTTCAAAGAAAAGGCCCTGGAACAGCAATCCCTGCTCCCCAGGAACCAGAGGAAGGAGCAGCAGAAATCCAAACCCAGACCGGGCAACTTAGTGGCTTAGTAAGGGCTTGTTATAAAAACTAAAAAAAGGGGGCCAGGGACATAGCTCAGGGGCACAGCGCCTGCCTGGCAAGTGCAAGGTCCTGAGTTGGATTCCTGATACCAAAAAAGAAAAAGAAAAAAGAAAAGGGTTGCCATGCAGCTCAGCTAGCAGTCCTGAGCTCAGTCCCCAGGATTGCAAAAAAAAGCAAAACAAAAGTCTAGAAGTTTGCAATGTAATTTATTATTTTATGATATTTAGTAGCAATATAAAAAACACAAGCACATTTTATCAATTAGTTTATGCACTTAGAAATTTTAATTGAAGAGAGGAAGAGGACTCAAGGTCGTGCAGATTAAAATACCACCCTAAAGGAAGCTGCTTCCCCAACGTGTAATCTGTCCATCTTTTCTCCACTGAAAGATAATTTTTACTCTTTCAACAAAGCAAACAATTAGCTCGGTATGTTCATGTTTCCCTTCCAGGTTTCAGACGTCTGAGCTAAGGCCGGGCTCCTGCTGTGACTTGGGCCTCTTGGTGTCCTCGGTTAGAATGCAGATCTCACTAGGCTTGAGAGTTTCGAGTCTGTTCTAATCACTGTTACAGTTAAATAGTATCTGGCGTATAGTTATAAAAATTGAATGGATGAGCAGATACACTGCTGGATAAACATCGGTCGCTAATGATGGGTGGATGGATGGACAGTGGATGGATGGATGGATGGACAGATGGACGGAAGGATCCATGGATGGACCGATGGATGTAATTCAAGCTAGTTGCCACTAGGTGGCAATGTTCACTTGCGTCTGCCTGCAAATGTCCGCCGCCTCTGCAGTCCTGGGTGGCCGTGGGTCTGTCTACCTTAGGAACGCAGCAACCTCATATTCCTGAACTTTCCCAACCCGGTTCCTTCTGGCTCCTTCCTCCAGCATCCCAGCGTGCTTAGAATTATGAGGTTTTTCTCTTTGGAAATAATTCTAGGTATTATCTATTTTACCTTAACTCTCCGGGTTTTTTAGGCTAAAAAAGCCAGCCCCAGGCCCACGATGGTGGTGTAACTCTCAGAAATGGATTAAACGGTGACATTTCAGCTTTGGGAGCCACAAAGAAAGATGAGACCCCGAGGTCAAGGGCACTGGTGCGCACGATAACCCGCGTTTCTCGGGAGGCTGAGGCAGGAGGATGGCCATGGGGCAACGCTCATATCCAAAGCCTGCAAGCTAGGGAGAGCGCCAGGAGCGCGCATGCGCAGAGTCCCGCGTCGTGGCTGCAGCGTCTGTCCCGAACACCGCCGGTTACCCCTCGCCTGTCTCGGCTGCTGACTCGGGAGTCCACCCACAGCTTCGCTTTGCCTTTCCTCCCTCCTGTGAGGTGCCGGGTGGAACCCTGGGCCTTGGCGTGCCAGGCAAGCCCAGTCCTGTATCTATGTCTGACTCCTGGAGAAACTGAGCTTGCCTTGCTTTCTGCAACTCAGCCGGCTCTGCATTCTGCTCCTTAACTGAGTCTTTCTCTGCTTGGCCTCGCTGGCTGACCGGGCCTTCTTTCCCGCACATCGCGAGAGTTTTGAAATCTGAAAGGTCCTGACTGCAGAGTGCACAGACAGTGGTATCCGTTTCCCTTTTCCCCTCCCCTCTCCTCCCCTTTCTTTATCTTCTTTCTCCAGCAGGGCTCTTAGCACAGGTCACCTGCATAGTCCAGACGCCCTTAAACTCACTACACAGCCCAAGCTAGGTCCGCGGTGATCCGAGCCCTCCGCCTCCCGAGGGCTGGGCCTGCAGGAACGCAGTCCACGCTTGGCTTACCGTTTAGCAGCCTAGAGCTGCTCTAAGGCACGTAGTTCTTTGCTGTCATATTGCCACGCGCTTCAGCAGTTTTTTCAAAATGCACCTTTTCACATAGGAAGTGGAGTAAATCCAATCTGGCCATCGTTTCGTCATTCAGTAATTATGCACGTGCATTACATAGAATGGGTTCTATGTATTTATAAGAACAGTAGGAGAGATGGAAGTGTGGCTTAGTGGCTCATCTATTTTTAGCATGGGTAAAATCGATGAAGTCCTGAGTTTGATCCTTAGTACCATTAAGAAGAAGAGCACAATTCAGGGCTGGGCGTGGTGACACACCTGTAATACCAGCCAGCACGCAGGAGGCTGACACCGGATTGCTGCAAATCTGAACCCAGCATGGGCTATCTAGTGAGTTTGAGGCCAGCCTGAATTATATTTTGAGAACTTGTTTGAGAGACTTTAAAAATAAGAAGGCATTTTTCACTCTCAATGCTAGACATGAAGTTAAATGAAGCATAATATACGTTAAATGTACAGTAGGATGACCGAGGTGGAGCGTTCTTCTGAAGCGCAGCTTGCCGCAGAGGCGACTGCTGTCCACAGACCGCGCTGCTGACCTCCCCCAGCCTGCGGGGCGATTCTGGGAGTACAGGCCTGCCCAGGACAGCGTGCCGCCCACGGCGAGGGGCAGATCGCGAGGGCTTCCTTCTCCTGCTCGGTCCCAGAGACCACAAGCGAGGTCTGTGGGACGCAGAGGAAGGCGCAGCCAATGAGCACACCTTCTGAAAACTCTGCAAAGGAAATGTTACGGTTTGTGTCTAGTTGGCCCCCAGCGCCTCGTGCAGCCCTGCAGTGGACTTCTAGACGTGATCAGCTCATGATCCAGTGCTGGGATCAGGGGTGTGGGTGCTACCCCCGGCCTGGGGCAGACGGCCTGGACGCAACATCCGGGAGACAGACCGGCTCTCTGCTGCCATTGTTGCCCCTGCTCCTGCCCTTTTGCTCCTGCTGTTTTGCCCTCTGCCCTGTGCCACTCTGCCTGGGAGCCAGCTGAGTGCGGGCTGAAACCCCCACTAACTGTGAGCTAAATAAACCTTTCCTTCCTTCATTTTGTGCATCAGGTATTTTGTCTCAGCAACAAGAGAAAAGTAACTGAGACAGAAAGCGATGGTGCAATTGGGCTGGAGGGACAAAAGGAAGTTTGGACACAGAGAAAGGCAGTCCCGGGCAAGGGCAGAACACAGTGCAGCCCCCTGCCCTGAGGTTCCTCCTTACCCCAGGAAGAATGGCTGTGATCAAGAAGTCAACCCATAACCAATGCTGGACAGGTTGCAGGGAAAAAGGAACCCTTCTCCACTGGGAGTGCAGGCTGGTGTAAGCACTGTGGAAATCAGGGTGGAGATTCCGCAGGAATCTAGGATAGGCAGTCCCATTGAACCCAGCCATTCCCCTCCTGGGTATTTTCCCAGAAGAACGAAAACATCATACCACAGTGCTATATGTGCACCTGTGTTTATAGCAGTGCTATTTGTCATAACTGAATCTTGGAAACTTCCCAAATGCTCATCAACTAAGGAATAGGTGAAAAAGATGTGGTATTTTTATACAATGGAATACTACTCAGCTATAAAGAAGGAGAAACTCGAGGCTTTTATAGGTAAGTGGATGCAACTCAAAACCATACTCATAAGTGAAATAAAGAGACCCACATGTGTAAACATCGTACTGTTTCCCTAGTGTGAGAAGATGAAAGAATAAATAAGGTCCAAAAATGTACAATAGATCTGTGACAGGGGAAGAAACTTCAAAAGGAAAGAGAAGCTGAGATGGAGGAATGGAGAAAAGAAGGAAGGGAAAAGAAAAAAAAAGAAGAAAACTGTAAAAGATAGTTATACTATGACTTTGTCTTAGTTCATTGAAAAGAAAGATCTGTGCTAATGTTGGACAATTAAATGCTGTTATCTTGTACTCTAAGTTACTAATAAAAAGGTGTCAATATGCAATGTGTTAATCATTGTTATGTCCCTTGAATGTTTTTTCTCTTTAAACACACACACTCACACACACACACACACACACACACACACACACACACACGGGTCGGCAAGATAGCTCAGCAGACTAAGTGCCTGGTTAGGCAAGTGCAGGGCCAGGGGTTCAATCCCTGGTACCACATGCTGCACAGGTCCCACCCCCAGGTGGGCCAGCCCTGAGACTGGGCATGGGGTGCATACCTGTAATCCCAGCACTAGAGAGGCTGAAAACAGGAAGATCACTTAGGAGTACGAGCTGCGTAGTGAGACCCTGTACCAAATAAATAAAATTTAAAAACACAAAGGGCACTGGGAAGCACCAAGGGCAGAGAGTAAGGACACTGGGTGGGAGGCGTTCAGGTTTTGCAGGACATCCTGGCCCAGGCTTGCTGAAGCAGGGGCCGGGTCCTGAGGTGAGCCAAGGGTACAGACGAACGCAGGGTGCAGGATGGGATGGAGCTGGCAGGTTCTGGTCACAGTGCTGGTCCCCACTACTTAGGAGGCAGAAGCTGGAGGATCACAAGTTCGAGCCCAGCCTGGGCAGCTTAGCAAGCCCTAGCTTGGAATAAATGGAGAGGGCTAGAATGGAGCAGCCAGCAGAGCGCACCTTGGGTCCCATCACTGCGCTGGGGCAAAGGCACAGGTAGGACCCAATACCGAGCACTCGCCTGGAAAGGGAGCCTTTAGAGGTCACGGTGGGATTGGGTTCCTGTGATGCTCCCATCAGAACACTGTGGTTTCTTATTTGTCTTCCTCGGGTTGTTCTGCAGATGATGCTAGATGCCTTGGGCCAGCAACGCTCACTTGCAATGTTGCTGGAAGCCAGAGGTGGGGTGGGCATGAGAGCCTGGGGATTGGGGCGCAGACCCCAGGGGTGGCCTCTGGGCAGGGAGGACGTGCCTCTGGCTCTACGTAGAAGGGCATGAATCCCACCCGAGGGACTGGGGTTAGCGTCTGCAGATGCGAACTCGGGGCTCGTGGGACAGTCCCCGCCCCGGACTCAGAGCTAAGTGCACGGGCCAGCACTGAGCCTCTCAGCCCGGGCACTGGGCCTGAGCACGCTTAGCTGTGTCCGGGGACTGTGGGTAACTCTGGTCTCTGGCGGGGGCTTCCTTCACCTCCTGTCCCCGCCCTCTGGCGACCAAGGGCAGAGCCTGTGTGCAGACAGCAGGCCTGGGCACCAGGACACGGATCTGCTCTGCCATCTGCGGAGACTGCTGGGGAAGAAGCAGCACTTGCTGTGCTTTCTCTCTCCTTCCTTCGGGGTTTGGTTTGTCGGACAGGGTCTTGCTGTGCAGTTCAGTCTAGCCTCAGACTCAATATGTAGATCAAGAGGACCTCAAACTAGCGGCAATCCTCCTGCCACAGCCTCTTGAGTGCTGAGATTACAGGTTTGCGCCACCACATCCAGTATCTTCTCTCTCATTTGTTACTAAATGTGCAATGTCACGTCTTATGCTGTCAGCCAGACGTGGGATTCAGCAATACACCAACTCGCTAGTTTCTGTCTGAACACAAGTCAGCAGTGCTATGCTGAGCTGGAGACTACAGACACGGAAATAACCACAAGCACAATTTATGTAGGCGTTTAGAAAGCTGAGACATTTGAAAAAGCTAACATTAAAAAAAAATAACATTTCCTAAAATATCTTGACCTTTCATAACTATGTATGGTTCATATTTGGGATGAAGTTATGCTCTGAATTTACTTTGAATTATTTCAAATACTTTTTCTTGCGTTTCAGTCTGGAGGTACATGTATTACCAAAAGCAAAGGAAAGCATACCACGAAGCTAGAGTTGTGGTGAAACAAACTCCGGGAAGGAGTCCGCAGGTGTGCAGGGGACACACCTATGGGTTTCTGTTTTGAAAATTCGCAGCTAGTCTTTTGATGAAAACCGCAGCCTTCAGGGATTCATTTGTGCTCTGATGCCGCAACAAAAAATACCTAATCGTGAAGTGTTATTAATGCCGTGGGGGTGGAGAAGGGCGGTCTTTCCAGTTTATCCTGACGACTCACGACCACGGCCTCCCCCGCTACAAAGGACAAGGACCAGCCCAGAGCCGGGGCTTCCGCCATCCTGCCTCGGTGCAGCGAGGAGGCCTTCAGCTCGGAGGTGGACGTGCGAGGCAGCC